TACAAGCACTTTCTCTTCAACGACTTTCCATATGTGCATATCTTCCCCATGGTCAGCTAAATGTGATTGGTTTGAAGGTGAATTTGTTTGGGAAAAAGTATATGGACTATTGATCTCTACTTGGCTGTTCAAGAAATCTATGAAGTTTTGAGAGGAGGTCAATGGAATGGTAAAATCCATATTCATTTGACTTGAAATRAAAGAARGAATTAAAGAACCTAMTCTGTTTTCAAAGGTTTGCTTAGTGTGTGTTATGCTCCATAGAGATATGGAGTAATTATAGAGATATGAATTAAAGAACCTATTCTGTTTTCAGAGGAGTTAAGTAATTGGTTAGTTGTGTGTTACGAACCACACAATTGAGTAAATGAGCTACCTAATATGCCTTCAATTYGGGTTAGGTTTTCAAATTTAAGCCACTRACATATGGGTCTAATGTCTYCATCACCATCAGTKAGCAATAAGTTGTAGTTATGTTTACTATTTGATTTGTAACTTAGTTAAGTTTTCATCAGTTTAGTTCAGTTTTGTTAACTGATTACATTATCAAGTTACAAAGTTAAACACATTTCAACAATTACCTACCAGCTTCTACGCAGAACCAAAACTAATTACTGATCATCTACAGTTGCTAAGAGACAGGGAGAACACTGAACTGAAAATGAAGAAGAGAGCCGGCTAGAGTGGTCTTTGAGCATACTTGATAACACCATCCAAGCCTCCAAACAGAGCAGCACAAGTTAAGAAAACAGAGATGGAGTCATTATAAAACATAATCTAAAATATATATAGAAGAAGAACAATAAGGTTTACAAAAACTCTTTTCCTAGCATCCTGATAACCTATGAAGCCAACCATTTGAAACGAATCAACACTCGTACAATATAACCACAAAGAACCAAACACACACGTAGGACTTGATCCTGACTAATGAGGTTACTCACAAAACATATACCGATTACACAAATTTAACCACTCAAACTTACAATTTCCAGTTATAGTAAATGAATATCCAAAATACATTTATCATATTTTGAGAAAACAAAGTGTGGAAATTAGGTTTTGGTTCCACCAATATGATTGTCCCAAATGCAAGTTCTTATGCACAAGTTCAAAACAGATTCAGAGCTTATAAGAGAACAATATCTGTGATTTATGAACATGATTTGAGTCAGCAACAAAAAATTCAGAAACACAAGAATTCGATTCGATTTCAAACAGAAGTAATCGATTTAGATTAACATCTGATTTCTACAAACCCTAAACCAAATAATCAAATATTCGAAATCTATAAAGTACAACCAGAGAACGAAGAGAGAGGACTTACACGCATCATCATGATCCAGAGAACGAAGAGAGAGGATATACAGGAGAAACAAGGAGATTCGACTCAGATCTATGCTCCAAAATCGATTATCTAGACAATCACCACTATACAAACGAAGAAGACGTACATGAAGGAGAACTGGCTACGAAAATCGATGACAACGATCAACAAAGAAAAAGGACGAGAATCGCCATTCTCGTCGCCGAAGAAGAGAAGCAAACATCAG